TAAATTAATTGAATTTATTATTAACATATGCAGTGTCTAATTAAATTTCAGGGCTGGCCTATTTATATTTCTGCAACATTCCTTACATCTTCTCAGCAGTCATCGGACACCAACCTTCAACTCATATAGGTTATTAAGTGATATGAATTTTCATAGGGCTGCAGAAAATTCCCCAGAATTAGTCTTCAGCTTTCAAGAAATTATCATCCACTAGATTTGATGAAGTGGGTACCAACTCTTTTCACTGAATGGCTTGGTTCATTAAGGTAACAGGGCTGTTAAGAGTTGCTTAGCTTTCCTTAGGGGGGGGGGCACTGATCAAGTTACAGGGGGAACTCCACCTGTTACCTTAGACCTCTGTTACCAAGAAACACAGAGGAGACACTTGAAGGCAGTTTGAGAGTTTTATCTTACAGATTCTTAGTCCAAAGATTTCCAGTTACAGAGAAGCAGCGGCCAAAAAGGAGAAAAGCCAGGAAGTGTGCTGAAGAAGGCCTCGTCCTTGCATTCTCCTGCCATTTAACCCAGCGAGGACCCCTGTCTGGGGCCAAGTTGCTTTCTCCTCTGGGACCCATCCGTTCAGCTCCAGTAATAAATGCAGGCAGAGGGGCAGTAGTTTCTCAGCACTCACAAAGGTCTTAGTTTTGAACCTCGCCCTCACCAAGGCCATTTCTCATCATGCCAAACCAACAGAAGAAAGTCATTTTTTGCATGGCCGGAGTGTTAAGCTTCGTGTGTGCCCTCGGAGTTGTGACAGCCCTGGGGACACCGCTGTGGATCAAAGCCACCTTCCTCTGTAAAACGGGGGCTCTGCTCGTCAACGCCTCGGTACAAGAGCTGGACAAGTTCATGGGCGAGATGCAGTACGGGCTTTTCCACGGAGAGGGCATGAGGCAGTGCGGGTTAGGAGCCAGGCCCTTTCGGTTCTCATGTAAGTAACAATTGCACTTGAATTACTTAATCCTTTAGGCACACTCTTTGAAGTGTTGCAAGGAATTATTTTTAAGAGCTTTGCATGGTCTATTGCAGGATTTTTTAAACAGATGTGAACCATTTGAAATACCCAGGACTCTTCTGAGCAATTTCTTCTTTCTAGTTTTTTTAATTTTGTTTTAATTTTATTAATTATTTCATCCTTGATATTTTTATTATGACAACATATGGTTAATGAGTTGCTATGGAATTAAACTTTTGGAAAACATAAGCAATTAAAATCTTCTTAAATATTAATATTTATGTAAGACATTATGGAGTCTTTTAAAAAAGGGGGTCTCGGAGAGATAGAAAAGCTGTAAGAGTTGATCTTTGTTTTTTCTTTAAAAAAGGACTGGCGTCATGGGCTTCTTCACCAACTCTAGCTGTTTTTACACCCTGACCGTGACTTCCTTCCCTGTCCACCCCC